TGTTTGTAGAATAAAGTTACACAATTTTGTCTTTAACAAGGATAGCGCCCTCCTGCTGTTCATCTGTCTGGCATACTTTATCAAATCACAAATCATTAATAAGTGTACTGAGATATCTACATCTATCAGATAATCAAAATGTCCTATTTCCCTAGACATTCCAGTCCATGAAGAGCTGCCCATTACGTATACAGATATTAACACAGCAAACAGACTGCATGAGATGCCACGTTCTACGGCTTTACGTTTTTCCAGTGGAAAGCAAGGTAAGGTGTCCTTTTCGATGGAGATCCCATGATATAGGAAGTGTCCAGCGGGCAATCAGACACTTAGGATAACCAAGCAGTTAATCTGCTTTATGGGGAAATTGTACTTTTTAATTCAAACTTTAGGGAAACAGTACAGTAAAAATGGTATAACCCAGGGTTTTACCTCCAGATATCAGGGAACCTTTTCATATCAGTTTTTCTTTGTTACTAAGAAATTTACTATTTACTTTACGAATACCCGCAAGCAGAAAATTGGGAGATTTTACTTCAGCACCGACTCGGGTTCATTTCCAATCTCATCATTAAATAGCCAGGATCTTGCTGCAACTACTAATTACCAACAGACGTCCAACCATGTCCCTATTTTTTACTGCCTGCCTGCCTATAGTGCCATTTGTACTTTTGAGTTTGACTTTATTATTATTATGTATATATTTTGCTGTATACTGAACTAGCAGCTGACAATGTATCGTCTTGTTACAACAGTGCTAACATCACTGCATTACAACTGGGAAACTCAGGTTCTAATCCGTGTCTGCCACCTCAACAGTAAGAGCTAGACACCTAATATAAATGTTAATTATAATAATAATAATAATAATAATAAAATTAACTAGTGTCGCAGGTCCCTAATTAAAGTTAATTTTCTGAAAAAATGTTCTGCTGAACCAAAGCATTCCTCTGTGGGATATTTGACAACATGAAATGAATATAACAGAATATATCATTATAATATATATATTATATTCATACAAAATGAATATAACAGAGACAAGAGGTAGAGAAAGCCCTGCTCTAACGTGCTTACAATCTACAAGGAAGGGATAAAGAGAAGAGATATAATTGCATGTCAGAGTGCATAGGGATTGATGGATCAGATGCCTGGGTTGAAATAAACCAGTAAAAGTGGTAAGTGAAACAACTGAACAGTGGCAAGAGAGAGTGAGCTGGGCTATGGAGGCAAGGGAAGCAATGATGGCAGTGACATGAGCGAAGCGTCACTCAGGAAGATGGTAAACTTTCATAATGTGGTGAGTTTTCAGTGACTTTTTAGGAGACTGATGGCATAGGGTAGCAAATTCCAAAGGAACGGGCAGCCCTTTGAAAATTTCTGCAAATGAGTGTTGGCAATGCGGTAATCAACAGGTGTCAGAAGAAGGTAAATTGCAGTGCGAGGGTAACAAAAAGGAGTATATTTGTTGAGTAACGAGGAAATGTAGTGAGGGGTGGAGTTAGTGAGGGCTTTGCAGGTTAGTGTTAGCAGTTTGAAGGGTACAGGAAGCCAATGTAATGATTGGGGAAGGAGTAAGGTGTGGTAGTAATGGTCAGTCAGGAAGATGAGTCTGACAATAGCATTCATTACAAACTGAAGAAGAGCAATGCAGGTATTTGGAAGGTTGAAAACGAGTGAGTTGCAACAAGTCAAGTTGGGAAATGATGAGTGCATGAACAAGGGCCTTAGGTAGAAAAGGGTAATAGTTACAGGATTTGGAGAGAGAGTGGATGTGAGGAGAAAAGGTATGACCTGAGTGAAAAGTAACGCATAGGCAGCGAGTTATAGGGGTTGGGGTAATAGGTGACCTATTCACATGCCGGGAAATACAGTCAGATCAACTGAGTAACCCTTTCAATGCTGGCTAGATCCTCCTAGGCATATAACATCCTATTCTCATGTAATTTTCAATTAAAACAACACTCAAACTAGCTCATTAATCATTTCCTGGAACCATCCAATAAGATTCAAATCTACAGATTCTATAAGCCGAATTTTAATTTGCCTAAAAAGATATCTTATCTTATTTCAGAGCAAATCAATACACCTGGATAAAAACAGCGGTATGCTAACATGTGATAATAATATCATCCATATATATTGTGACGAGAGCAATCTCGCCACATTGCATTGGAGAAGCCTGGTTGCTCGCCTGCTGCCTCTGGACTGCAGAAAAGACTTATTCGTGCTTTTCTGCCTGGTGTTCCGTAGATTCAATCTACCGAATAACCGCACGAATGACTAGACCACCTGGGAGCTGGAGTGTGCCGGCAATTAGCAGCTTAATTGACGAATGCTGGGTGGCCGCCATTCGTATCACGAACACGAGGTCGCCGCCATTTTAAACCCGCGAATACACAGCGGTGTTCAACGCTCAATTCATGGAACTAAAATCGGACACAGTTTTGCCCGAACACCGCTGAAGCCGCCGACCTCCCTTCTTGTTCGGTGAAAGTGCACGAACGGCCCGGTGTTCGGTAGTTTTACTTGAATATGTTATACCCCAGATAGAAATCCCATGGAGCCCATTCGCATGATAACTGACTGTGTAAAGACTTTGGCTCCATGGTGATTAAACTGTATTCGTGTGGTCTGAGCGCCATTCGCTTAATAATGTGCGCTCAGACCTGAGCTATCTGGGGATATGCTAAATGTATAGTTTTAGTGTAACTTGTGTCATACTGTGTATTTTAATAGTAATTCCTGTTTTAGTATCCCCACGTGCATAATGGCGATTTGCCTTTGTCTTGGGAGATAATTGAATTACCTCTCAATTATCTCCAAGGCAGGAGGGAGGAAGCCAGGATGCATTGTGGGAATATAATGTGACTGTGTGTCCTATTTGTCTACTTGTCTGTTGTAACGGACCATTTTGCCCAAAAGAGGTTAAAAACTGTTTAGGCGATATTCCCCTTTTTCAGCTGCACCGACAGCTACTGCAAGCACCAATCTCCTGAACTGCAAACCCACAAATTCACCAACTCCCGAACTGCATACCAAGGGAATTCTCAAAACTCCCGAACTGGAGACACACGAATAGCTGCTAGCAGACGAACAGGAAAAGCCCCCAAGCGGCTTACACTCCTGGCAATCAGTCTCTAACAGCATACAGTAAATCCTCCCCCAATAATGAGATGACACTTCACTTTGAGGGTTAAGCAGGAACTACACTGCTGGCACACCCAGCCTGGTTTTTATTACAGTCTTGCATATACAGGACCGCCCACAGGGAGGTATAAAATAACCAATCAAATAACAGTTACAACCCACAATGCATCACAATCCCTCCTCCCTGGCCTGGAGATAATTGGAGAAGTAATCCAATTATCTCCAAGGACAGAAGCAAACTCCATTACACACATGGCAGACAAAAGACAGTAAAATACAATAAAATACACAAGGTTACATTTATACATAAAATACAGACATTCTACCTATCCCCAGATAGCTTAGATCTGAGCGCACGTTATTACCGGATGGCGCTCAGATCACATACATACAGTTCAATCGCCATGGAGCCAAAGTCTTTCATACAGTCTTTCAGTATACGGCTGGGCTCCATGGCATAGCTATCTGGGGTAGCATGGCTTTAACAGTCCGCAGAAAGGCACAAACCAGGGAAAAAGAACAGGGCCCATAGTCTAAAGGTAAGAGGCGGGCAAGCAGCCCCCTCCAAGGACACGTGGCAAGGTCGGTTTCGCCACATCTGTCTTTTGTCACAGTCTCCCATTTGGTCCCCTAGGGGAGTGTCCACCAGGTGGGAGACCTGCATAAATACTGGGCAGGTAGTCCTCATTAAACAGACCACTGCTTGACCCCCAACACGGAGACTTGTCTCGTCTTTGGGGGGGATTTACTGAATGCTGATAGAGACTGATTGCTAGGAGTGTAAGCCGCTTGGATGCTTTTCCTATTCGTCTGCTAGCAGTGATTCGTATGGTTCCAGTTCGTGTGTTTGGAGTGCTATATTGTATGCTGTTCGGGAGTTTGGAACATTCCCTTATTTGCGGTTCGGGAGTTTGGTGTTCTACAGTAGCTGTGCCTGCATCTCTGAAAGGGGACGATCGCCTAAACGGTTTTTACCCCTTGTGTGCAAAACGGTCCGTTACATATATATAATTATTTTTGATTCCACCTGCAGAATGGAATGTTTATAACTATATATTCTTTAGTTAACTAAGATTCCTCAATTATTGAAATCTGACCGTGATTTATCCAGTCATATATCATGCTATTAGTAGATTTTAATTAATTTAGATCCATTAAATATAACCAGCATAATTACCAGTTATGATGTAGATGCTCTCATCAGATGAGTAGGTAGTCCCAGGAACTTGAATGTGAGTATGATTGGTTGTATGGAGGTGTGTAAGTAATAGAGAAAAGTGATGTTGGTTAGAAAGTAATTGTACAATTCTAAGTGTCAAGGAGTGTT